GGAGTGCTGGGGACAAGGCTGGCAGCGCTGGGGGCACACCTGGCAGTGCTGGGGACAGGGGTGGCAGTGCTGGGGGCACACCTGGCAGTGCTGGGGACAGGGATGGCAGTGCTGGGGGCACACCTGGCAGTGCTGGGGACAGGGATGGCAGTGCTGGGGGCACACCTGGCAGTGCTGGGGACACAGCTGGCAGTGCTGGGGACAGGGATGGCAGTGCTGGGGACACAGCTGGGAGTGCTGGGGACACACCTGGCAGTGCTGGGGACAGGGCTGCAGTGGCTGCTGTGCCCTGCTCCATACCTGAGTGCTCAGGGCACACCTGGGGCACAGGCTGGCAGTGCCCAGGTCACTCCAGGGGGCTCAGGGCACACCTGGGGCACAGGCTGGCAGTGCCCAGGTCACTCCAGGGGGCTCAGGACACACCTGGGCACAGGCTGGCAGTGCCCAGGTCACTCCAGGGGGCTCAGGGCACACCTGGGAGGTGGCACAGGTAGAGGAGCAGTGTCCCAAATCCACAGTGGCTGCCCCTGTCCCACATCTGCCCCACAGCTGTCCCTGTGGCAGATCTCCCGGGTGTGGAACACTGCTGGTGGGCCTGTGTCACTCACGTCCCTGTGTCACACCTGGCCCCGTGTCACACCTGGCCCTGTGTCCCCATGTCCCTGTGGCAGATGTCTCAGGTGTGGAACACTGTCTGTGTCACCCTGTCCCTGTGTCACACGTGTCACTGTCCCCGCAGATGTCTCAGGTGTGGAACACTCCCCGTGTCACACATGTCCCTGTCCCTGTCCCCGCAGATGTCTCAGGTGTAGAACACTCTCTGTGTCACCCCATCCCCATGTCACCCCATCCCCGTGTCACATGTGTCACCCTGTCCCCGTGTCCCCGCAGATGTCTCAGGTGTGGAACACTCCCCGTGTCACACGTGTCCCCTGTCCCTGTCCCCGCAGATGTCTCAGGTGTGGAACACTCCCCGTGTCACACTCTCCCTGTATCACACCTGTGCCTGTCCCTGTGGCAGATCTCTCAGGTGTGGAACACTCTGTGTCACACCTGGCCCCGTGTCCCCGGAGATCTCTCAGGTGTGGAACCCTCCCTGTGTCACCCTGTCCCCACGTCACATGTATCACACCTGTCCCCCTGTCCCTGTGGCAGATCTCTCAAGTGTGGAACACTCTGTGTCCCACGTGGCCCCGTGTCCCCGGAGATCTCTCAGGTGTGGAACACTCCCCGTGTCACATGTGTCCCCTGTCCGTGTCCCCGCAGATGTCTCAGGTGTAGAACACTCTGTGTCACCCTGTCCCCATCTCACACCTGTCCCTGTCCCTGTCCCCGCAGATGTCCCAGGTGTGGAACACGGCGCTGCTGCAGCTGCTGCGCAGCCTGCCGGCGCTGGGGCTGCCGCGGGGCGGGCGCCAGGCGCGCTCGGTGGAGCAGGAGGTGCTGTGGCGGCTGCGGCGCCTGCCCCTGCGGCAGCTGGTGCAGCTGGCCGAGCAGCTGGCGGCGCGGGGCCCCGAGGGGCCGCTGCTGCCCGAGGTGCTGCGCAAGCTGGAGCTGCGCTGGACCGAGCTGGACGCGCCCCGCGCCGTGGTGACGCTCATGGCCAAGGTGGGACACCTGTCCCCCGCCCTGATGGAGCGCCTGGAGGACAAGGTGGGCACGGCGCGGGGCGTGGCGCTGGGGGGGACCCGGGGCGGGGTCGCCTGGGGTCGGCAGTGTCACCTGGGGGCACCTGCGCAGCCTGTGCTCTGTCTCTGCTCTGCCATGTGTCCGCCTGTGCTGTGTCACCTGTGCTGTGTCACCTGTGCCGCCTCACCTGTCCCTGCCTCACCTGTCCCTGCCTCACCTGTCCCTGTGTCACCTGTCCCTGTGTCACCTGTGCTGCCTCACCTGTCCCTGCCTCACCTGTCCCTGTGTCAGCTGTGCTGCCTCACCTGTCCCTGTGTCACCTGTGCTGCCTCACCTGTCCCTGCCTCACCTGTCCCTGTGTCACCTGTGCTGCCTCACCTGTCCCTGCCTCCCCTGTCCCTGCCTCACCTGTCCCTGTGTCACCTGTCCCTGCCTCACCTGTCCCTGTCCCCATGCAAGGCGCTGGCACCGGGGAGCAGTTTCATTCCTGTAACTGTCTCACCTGTCTCCATGTCCCTGTCCTCTCTCCCTCCTGTCCCCTGTGTCTCTGTCCCCGTGCCAGGTGCTGGAGCAGAGCAGTTTGATTCCTGTTCCTGTGTCACCTGTCCTGTGTCACCTGTCCCTGTGTCCCTGTCTCACCTGTCCCTGCCTCACCTGTCGCTGTCCCCGCAGGCTCTGGAGCTGGCAGAGCAGTTTGTCCCTGTGTCACCTGTCCTGTGTCACCTGTCCCTTGTCACCTGTCCTGTGTCACCTGTCCCTGTGTCCCTGTGTCACCTGTCGCTGTCCCCACAGGCTCTGGAGCTGGCAGAGCAGTTTGTCTCTGTGTCACCTGTCCTGTGTCACCTGTCCTGTGTCACCTGTCCTGTGTCACCTGTCCCTGTTCACCTGTCCTGTGTCACCTGTCCTGTGTCACCCGTCGCTGTCCCCGCAGGTTCTGGAGCTCCTGTCCCGTTTGTCCTGTTTCCCCTGTCCTGTGTCACCTGTCGCTGTCCCCGCAGGCTCTGGAGCTGGCAGAGCAGTTTGTCCCTGTGTCACCTGTCCTGTCTCACCTGTCCTGTCTCACCTGTCCTGTCTCACCTCTGCTGTCCCCGCAGGCTCTGGAGCTGGCAGAGCAGTTTGTCCCTGTCTCACCTGTCCTGTCTCACCTGTCCCTGTGTCCCTGTCTCACCTGTCCTGTGTCACCTCTGCTGTCCCCGCAGGCTCTGGAGCTGGCAGAGCACTTTGACCCTGACGAGCTGCGCCGCGTGGCGCTGGCGCTGGCGCTGCAGCAGCGCCGCAGCGTGCCCCTGCTGCGGGCCCTGTCCTACCACCTGCTGCAGAAACCTGCTGAGCTGCCCCTGCCCGTGCTCAGCGACCTGCTCTTCGCCTTCAGTGAGTGCCAGGGCCACCTGCGGGGGCTGGGGACAGGCCTGCTGGGGGTGGGAGCTGCCTGGGCTGGCACTGGGTGGGGGGCTAGGTGACCTTAGGGGTCCCAAAGCTGTCCTCTCGGCCAGGTGGGGTGAGGGAATCCAGGTGAGCTTAGGGATCCCAAACCTGTCCTCTGCCAGGTGGGGTGAGGGAATGCAGGTGACCTTAGGGGTCCCAAAGCTGTCCTCTGCCAGGTGGGGTGAGGGAATCCAGGTGAGCTTAGGGGTCCCAAAGCTGTCCTCTGCCAGGTGGGGTGAGGGAATCCAGGTGAGCTTAGGGGTCCCAAAGCTGTCCTCTCAGCCAGGTGGGGTGAGGGAATGCAGGTGACCTTAGGGGTCCCAAAGCTGTCCTCTGCCAGGTGGGGTGAGGGAATCCAGGTGAGCTTAGGGGTCCCAAAGCTGTCCTCTCAGCCAGGTGGGGTGAGGGAATGCAGGTGACCTTAGGGGTCCCAAAGCTGTCCTCTCAGCCAGGTGGGGTGAGGGAATGCAGGTGAGCTTAGGGGTCCCAAAGCTGTCCTCTGCCAGGTGAGGTGAGGGAATGCAGGTGGGCTTTGAGGTCCCAAAGCTGTCCTCTCTGCCAGGTGGGGTGAGGGAACCCAGGTGACCTTAGGGGTCCCAAAGCTGTCCTCGCAGCCAGGTGGGGTGAGGGAATGCAGGTGGGCTTAGGGATCCCAAACTCAGGGATCCCAAACGTAGGGATCCCAAATCCAGGTCATCGTTCTAGGGCTCCTGTCACTGCAGGTGTCCCCAGCCCCTGGGAGCTCAGCGTGAGGCCATTCCACACCCTGGGTGTCCCCAGCCCCTCCCCAGCTCACCTGGAGCCCCTTTGGGCACCGGGGTTGCTCCGAGGTGTCCCTGGAGCCTCTCCTCTCCAGGTGACCGTTCCCAGCCGCCACCTGTGGCGCGGGGGGCGCAGGACAGAGGTGCCCAGAGCCCCCCCGTGCTGAGCTGTCCCCCTTGGCACAGGCAAGCTGAGCTTCCAGCAGCCGCAGGTGCTGCACCGCCTGGCCCTGGAGCTGCAGCCTCACGTGGGCAGCCTGAGCCCGGCGCAGGTGCTGCGCTGTGCCCGCTCCTTCGCCAGCCTGCGCTGGCTCAGCCGGCCCCTCGCCGAGGCCATCGCTCAGGTGAGCCCGGGGGGACAAGGGGGGACCTCACCTGGCCTGGGGGGAGGCGGGGGACGCTCACCTGCGCGGGGGTGTTGTCACCTTTCCCAGCAGGAGCCGGGCAGAGCGGGTTCCTCTCGCTGCTCCGGGCTGTTGTCACCTGGGAGCAGTGAGGGTCCCTCCCTGTCCAAGCTGTGTCACGTTCCCTGTTGGAATCGGGGGTCGTTTCCCGCTGGGTTTGGCTCCATGCAGACCCTCCAGCTGTGACTGCTGCTGCTGGTTCTGTCCCAGTTCTGTCCCAGTTCTGTCCCAGTTCTGTCCCAGTTCACCTCCATGCACGTCCCCGTGCAGGCTGGGACATTCCAGGCCTGCCCTTGCGTCTGGATACGATCCCAGGGATCCCCCAGCCCTGGTGTCCCACCCAGCACGGTCCCTGCCGATGTTTCCAGGCTTTTCCTTGCTGCTCCTCTCCCAGCTTCCTGCCACTTCTGCCCCAGTTCCTGCCAGGTTCATCCCCCTGCCCCTTCCCATCCACAAGCATTCCAGAGCTTGCCCCTGAGAGAGTCCCAGGCGTCCCCCACTCTGGTTTTCCCCCCGGGAGGCGTCTCTGGCTGACGTGTCCACCCTCTCCCTCCCGTCCCCACTGTGCACAGCCCCACGTTCCCCTTTTCCCTGCAGCACTGCCTGGATAACACGCAGAGCCTGTCCCTCACCCAGCTCTGCGGGGTCCTCGTGTCCTTCGCCCGCCTCAACTTCCAGCCCAGCTCCGGCGAGGAGTTCTTCTCCATGGTGAGGTCCTGGGATTCCCCAGTGGTCGGGGTGGGGAGTGACCTCAGAGACCCCCCCTCCCCCAGCCCCAAAGCCTCCCAAACTCCATTTTCCCACATCCTAGCACTCCGTGTGTCCCAAATCCCTCCCAGCCCCCTCCAGGTGATCCCATGGGAAAGGGGCCGTTGGACGGCATGGCCGACCCCGCCGTGGCAGGAGGGGCGGGGGGCAGCTGGCGTTCCCTTCCCCAGATCCACGAGCGGCTGCAGGGGCAGGAGCAGCAGCTGGAAGCGCACCTGCTGACGGACGTGGTGTGGTCCCTGTGCGTCCTGCGGCGGCCCCCGGCCCCCCACCTGCGCCAGGTGCTGCGCCCCGACTTCCAGGCGCGGCTGCGAGGTGAGCCCGGCGCGGCGGGGTGGCCGGGGGGGGTCACCTGTCCCCAGGTGTGCTGCTGGCGCCTGCAGCCCAGTCAAATTCGGTCCCCGTCCCCCCCGTGGCGGGGACCGGCCACCGGCTGCCACAGTGACCTCCGTGGGCACGAGCCCCGTGTCCCCTCCCGTGGGACCGGGGGGCCAGTCCCACTGGAGACATGGAGCGTGGGAATGCTGGGGGCTGGGAGGCTTCTCGGGGGCTGGGGGGCTTCTTGGGGGGGCTTCTCAGGGACTGGGGGGCTTCTCAGGGGCTGGGGGTCTTCTCGGGGCTGGGGGGCTTCTCGGGGGCTGAGTTCACCTGGCGGTACAGGTGTCCCAGCTGTCACAGCCCCGTGGCCGTTGAACCCAGCGGGGCTGCACAGCCCCTTCCAGGAGGGAAAGGGACTCCAGGGATTGCCCAGATGCCACCTGGGCATCCCCTGGCACCGCCTGGCACCATTCCCCTGGCCCTTGAACCCGGCTCAGCCCCTGGGGGCACGGCCCCTGTGCCGGGTGCCACATCCAGCCTGGGGCTGCACGGCCCGTGGCCGTGTCCGTGGGTGTCACCTGGGTGTCCGTGGGTGTCACCTGAGCGTGTCCCCGCCCGTCCCGCAGGTGACAGCTCCCCGCGGGCGCGGAGCTCGTGGCTGAAGCTGCTGCACATCAACGCCACGGCCAGGCTGGAGACCCCGGGCTACGAGGGGCCCTTCCTGCCCCCCGAGCTGCTGGGGGGGCGCGGGGACAGGGACAAGGACAAGGACAAGGCCACCCCCCTGCAGCGGGGGCTGCGGGAGGCGCTGCCGGGGGCGCTGGGGGGCGACGAGCTCGTCCGGTACAACGTGAGCACAGTGTACGGCTGGGACATCGGTGAGTGCCACCCGCTGCCAGCCCGGGGCCTGGCACCTGCCTGGCACCTTCCAGTGCCACCCCTCAGCACTGGCACCTGCCTGGCACCTTCCAGTGCCACCCTGGGGCCTGGCACCTGCCTGGCACCTTCCAGTGCCAGCCCGGGGCCTGCCACCTGCCTGGCACCTTCCAGTGCCACCCCCGGGGCTGCCACCTGCCTGGCACCTTCCAGTGTCACCCCTCAGCACTGCCACCTGCCTGGCACCTTCCAGTGCCACCCCTGGGGCCTGGCACCTGCCTGGCACCTTCCAGTGCCACCCCCGGGGCTGCCACCTGCCTGGCACCTTCCAGTGCCACCCCCGGGGCTGCTACCTGCCTGGCACCTTCCAGTGCCACACCCGCAGCTGCTACCCACCCTAGGCACCTTCCAGTGCCACCCCTCAGCACTGCCACCTGCCTGGGCACCTTCCAGTGCCACCTCCAGGGCTGCCTTCCACCTGGCACCTTCCAGTGCCACCCCCAGGGACTGGCACCTGCCTGGCACCTTCCAGTGCCACCCCTCAGCACTGCCACCTGCCTGGGCACCTTCCAGTGCCACCCCCAGGGCTGCTAGCCACCCTGGGCACCTTCCAGTGCCACCCCCGGGGCTGCCACCTGCCTGGCACCTTCCAGTGCCACCTCTCAGCCCTGCCACCTGCCTGGGCACCCCCACCCCTGCTGCCTTCCCCTGTGACCCCAGTCCCCCCAGCCCTGTCACCCCCGTTACCTTCCTGTGTCACCCCACAGCCCTGTCACCTTTCCCTGTCACCCTGCAGCCCTCCTGGCTCTGCCACACCCCTGCCATCCCCTGTCACCCTCTTGCAGCCCAGTCAAATTCGGTCCCTGTCCCCCAGTGTCGGGGACCGGCCACCGGCTGCCACAGCAACTCCGTGTCCCGCGTGTCCCCTGTCCCCTCCCGTGGGACCCGGGGAGGCGGACCCCACGGACACTGCCCTGCCTGGGGTGGGGTCGGCAGAGCCCCTGGGTGGCTCTGAGTCCCCTGTCCCCTGTGTCCCTGCAGATGCCGAGGCGGTGCTGGACAGTGACAACAACCCTCTGCCCGTGAGGGACTTCACTGCCCCCCACTTGTCCCACTCCGAGGGGACAAAGCCACTGCCACCGGGGGCCAGGAGGTGGGTGGGGACACGAGGGGCTCCCGAGGGGGACGGGAGGAAGAGGAGGGGATGAGGAGGGGCAATGGGAAGGGTCAGTGGGGGAGAGGGGGACAGGGAGGGGACACGGGACAGGAGGTGCCGGGAGGGGCACAGCTCAGGGGTGCTCAGTGTCCCTGTCCCTGTCCCCAGGGTGGCCGTGCTGCGCTGGGAGCTGCCGCAGTTCAGCTCGCGGGGCCGGGAGCTGCTGGGCCGGGGCTCGCTGGCCCGCCGGCACCTGAGAGCGGCGGGCTTCCTGCTGGCCGAGGTGAGAGGGACACGCTGGGGACACCGTGTGTCTGCTGGGGACACCCTGTGTCTGCGAGAGCTGGGACACGCTGGGGACACCGTGTCTGTGTGAGTGGGACACGCTGGGGACACCCTGTGTCTGTGTGAGTGGGACACGCTGGGGACACCGTGTCTGTGTGAGTGGGACACGCTGGGGACACCGTGTCTGTGTGAGCAGGGACAGGGCTGGGGACACCGGGCACCTGGCAGTGTCTGTGTGAGGGACAGGGCTGGGGACACCCTGTGTCTGTGTGAGTGGGACAGGGCTGGGGACACCCTGTGTCTGTGTGAACGGGACACGCTGGGGACACCGTGTCTGTGTCAATGGGACACGCTGGGGACACCGTGTCTGTGTGAGCAGGGACAGGGCTGGGGACACCGGGCACCTGGCAGTGTCTGTGTGAGGGACAGGGCTGGGGACACCCTGTGTCTGTGTGAGTGGGACACGCTGGGGACACCGTGTCTGTGTGAGTGGGACACGCTGGGGACACCGTGTCTGTGTGAGCAGGGACAGGGCTGGGGGGCTGGGGACCCCCTGTGTCTGTGTGAGTGGGACAGGGCTGGGGACACCCTGTGTCTGTGTCAACGGGACACGCTGGGGACACCGTGTCTGTGTCAATGGGACACGCTGGGGACACCGTGTCTGTGTGAGCAGGGACAGGGCTGGGGACACCGGGCACCTGGCAGTGTCTGTGTGAGGGACAGGGCTGGGGACACCCTGTGTCTGTGTGAGCAGGGACACGCTGGGGACACCCTGTGTCTGTGTGAGGGACAGGGCTGGGGACACCCTGTGTCTGTGTGAGTGGGACACGCTGGGGACACCGGGCACCTGGCAGTGTCTGAGGGACAGGGCTGGGGACACCGGGCACCTGGCAGTGTCTGTGTGAGTGGGACAGGGCTGGGGACACCAGGCACCTGGCAGTGCCTGCGTGTGCCCAGCACTGCCAGTGTCACCACTGGCCCTGCCCCAGGTGACACATCTGCCTGGCACTTGAACCCTCCCAGCCCCCTCCAGGAGAAATATTCCCAGAATGTTCCCCAGGTGTTCCCCAGGTGTCCCCAGGTGCCACCTGAACCTCCCTGGTGGCAGCAGAGCCCAGCCCCCATCCTGTGAGGTGCCCCCAGCACTCAGGTGTGGTCTCACCTGTGCCCAGCCCAGAGGACGGTCCCTGTGCCCGTGGCCACCCTGGTGACACCAGCTGGGTGCCATTGTCCCCCTGGCACACCTGGGCACAGCTGGCACCATGGGGGTGGAGGCTCTGACACCCCCTGGGGGCTGCCAGCTCCCCCCAGCCTGGCACTCAGCAGGGCTGAGCCACCATGATCCCCCGGGCCACCTGCCAGGTGCTGGGGGGGACAGGGGTGACAGGGAGGTGACACAGACGAGCTGATCCTGTGGGGTCATCCAGGATTAACCCCTGGGGGTAATTATAGCCCGGGGGGGAGTGAGACAGCCACGTGTCACCCCCAGGGTCACTGCAACCCCTGCTCTATTGTCACTCCCCTGGCAGTGCCACCGTCACACCTGGGGGGTGGTGGCACGTCCCAGGGTGGGCACTGGGACCCCGGATCGGCGCCGAGACCCTCTCGGGTGGGTGCCATGGCGTGGGCAGGACAGGAGGGGACACAGCTGCCACACCCCTGTCCCCTGCAGGTGCCCCACTACGAGTTCCTGGAGCTGAAGCTGGAGCGGCAGCGCGTGGCCTACCTGAAGGACAAGGTGGCCAAGGCCCTGGCTGGTGACACGGCTGGTGACACGGCCGGTGACACGGCCACCTAACCCGCCTGTGTGGCCTCCTCACCTCGTCAGCGGCCACAGCCCCGTGCCAGCGTGAGCGTGTCACCGTGCAGAGGTGGCCCAGCGGCTGAGCCCCGGTGGCAGCGTCACCAGGCCACCGTGCCCACAGCGGTGTCCCCGTGTGACCGCTGCTCCCTGTCACCAACGGCTCAAATAAACCCACAACTGTACAGGGATGGCGGCTGGGCGTGGTGGCACTGGGGACGGGTGGCATTGGGGACAGCGTCATTTGGGACGTGACATTGGGGATGGGTGTCGTGGGGGTGGGTGGCATTGGAGACACGTGACATTGAGGACGGTTGCCATCAGTGCCAGGTGCAATTGGAGCTGGGTGACATCAGTGCCAGGTGTCATTGGGAGCAGGGGACATCAGGGCTAGTTGGCAACATGGCCAGGTGACGCTGGGACTGGGTGACATTGGGGCTCAGTGGCACTGGTGACATGGGAGCCAAGTGACATCTATGGTGGTTGGCACTGGGGTTGGGTGACATTGGCGCCGGGTGACATTGGAGCTGGGTGACATTGGGAGTGGGTGACATTGGGAATGGGTGACAGCAGGGACAGGTGACATTGGGAATGGGTGACAGCAGGGAATGGGTGACAGCAGGGACAGGTGACATTGGGAGTGGGTGACAGCAGGGAATGGGTGACAGCAGGGACAGGTGACATTGGGAATGGGTGACAGCAGGGAATGGGTGACAGCAGGGACAGGTGACATTGGGAATGGGTGACATTGGGGCCAGGTGACCTTGGAGCTGGGTGACAGCAGGGACAGGTGACATTGGGAGTGGCTGACAGGGGGCTGGGTGACGTCAGGGTGGGGTGACAGTGCATGGGTGGCATTGGGGTCAGTGCCATCAGTGTCGGTGGCACGTGGCTGTCCCCAGCGCTGTGCCCGGGGCCGCCGGTCTGAGCCGGGATCGGCGTCAGGAGCCAGCGGCCTTGATTCCCGATTATCCCGGGATTGTCCCGGGATTGTCCCCGGGGGGACGGGGACAGCGCCGGGGGCTGGCTGCGGGCTGGGCTGGGGGTGGCCAGCGGGGACAATCTGGGGTCTGGGGGTGTCACATCCCGGCCGCAGCCCCCGCCGTGTCCCCGCACGGGGCAGGGGACAGAGTGGCTCGGGACAGCCCTGGGGGTGACACAGTGGGGACAGATTAGCGCCCACCTGGCGCCGGGACCCCTCCAGCCCCCCGGGAAGGGGACGCGGGCCGGCTGGGGGGACACACGGGGATGGGGGGACACACTGGGAAGGGACACGCGGGGATGGGGGGACACGCGGGGATGGGGGGACACGCGGGGACACGCGGGGACAGGGGGACACTCGGGGGGACAGGGGGGACACGCGGGCGGGAGCTGCTGAGTCACCGGCCGGGGCCGTGCCTGGCACGGGCAGCCCGGGGTGGGGACAATGCCCGCCCTCATCCCCGCGCTCGGGGACACGCGGGGGGGACACGCGGCTCCCTCCCCGCCCCCACCGCTGTCGCCGCGCCCGCGCAGACGCTTTGGGGGGGGGGGGGGGGGGGCCCCCCGCCCCCCCCCCCCCCCCCCCCCCCCCCCCCCCCCCACATTGCTGTAAAAAAACAAATGCACACATAAAAATGATACATGGATTCTCTATGTGATAAAAATATGTTGTTCATCATAACATAGAATGCCTTTTATTTACCCCTGGTATTGATATTCTTTAGGTGTTTTAATCCATCTGTAAATATGGCAGAATTAGGGATAGTCTCAGAGGTCAAGAAACTCCAGGTTTACAATTTTGCTTCATAATGAAAATTGGAAAAAAAGCTATTGGAAAAACCTTCATCTGTTTCTAGGAAGGCTTGGCAGGATGTCAGATCACCATGTTTCTCTCATCTTTCCTACACACAAATCAAGTCACTCCTCCCATGCTCTCTCCCTCCCCCCACCCCCCGGCCCCCCCCCCCGCCGCCGCTTTTGGGGGGGGGGGGGGGGCTCCGCCCTGTGTCCCCCCCCCAATTCCCCCCAGGACGCCGCGGGATGCTCATCCCCCTTTTTTAGGAGACAAAGTGGGGGGAAACTGAGGCCGGGCCCCGCCCTCGCGCCCCCCCCCGGAGCTGATGCAAGCGCTGGGTGGGCCCCCCCCCGCCGCAGCGCCTCTGTCGCGACAGAGCCGGGGCCGGGCGGGACGCGATCGCCGCTGACATCAGCCGGGCCGGGCCCCCCGCCCCCGCCGCAGCCCCGCGGATGCTCCGGAGCCGCGCCCGCCCGAGCGGGGGGAGCGGGGG